GGCCAATAACAATAAAGCCTCTAGGACAGACAACCATTTTTTTTCTGCATCTGGTAGAGCCAGCAGTTATTTGGATAAGCATCAAAAGAGCTATATCTTACACCTGGTGCCACCATGCACCCAGCACAGGATACAGGCAAGATATAGCCGTGTGACTCAGCGGTGAAAATAAGGAAATGAAATGTGGCAAGCTGGTGGGTGGAATAATGCTCAGAGTCAGAGATCTTCATTTAGTGGGCAGCCTCTCTGCCATACACAACTCAGTCAGAGGTTTCTATCTACCACAGCTTCAGTTTCACACTTGTCAACCAACTTTATGGCCTTCAACATAGTAAAATCTTCATGAAACAAGCTGAGCTGTAAACTTGTAAGGGGATTACCAACCAAAACACTGTGCTATGATTACAATGCTGAAAACACACTTTTGAAAATCATTTTGATCAGACCCATGAGTCTTTCCCTTTCAACAAGTGTCAGCCAAATGAAGCACAGTGATACTAGCCAATCACAGCATGGTACGGATACAACTGACAACAATAAGAACAGTTAACTACTCATCAATAATCTAAATGGTTATTCAACTAATCAGATTTTGTGCTGAGTAATACCTTAATGGCTCATATTTCACAATCAGCTTTAAACATTTACTCCTCTAAATACATTAGGGCTGCAGCTAACGCTTATTCTTGTTGTGGACTAATTTATTGACTTTTTTTTTTTCAATTAATCGTGATTATCTTCATTAGCACCAGTTTTGGACTTCTGTTTCATATAAAGTTGGTTAAATCTTCACACCATTATAAACGCTAGTATCGAGAGGTGCTGAAATTAAGTATCTAAAAGTAGCTGCACTTGTAATTCACTGATTACTGCCGTGAAGTACACATTAATGCAAGTGAACTAGTGTTTGCTAAGCAGGCTTCTTCCATGATTTTCTAACTGATGGACGCACGACACAAACATATTATATGCTTGCAGCATAGGCTGATGGTTAATTAACAAATGAGTATGTGATTTAAAAATATCTACCAGGTATTAACATTATTTATGCACTCGTTCTCTGTGGTATGTGATGATACAGCATTTGAGATGTTTGTGCATTGCAGTAGAACTACCAACGAATGAGGGTTGAGCTACACAGAGATAAAAGTTTGTGTGTTTCGCTGGTTTATTTTTTGTGAAATGTTATCAAACTTTGGAAACTTAAGTCAAAGTTTTTCAGCCTCTTCATCTGTTTGTTCTGCCATAATTCTTGTGTTCTCCTTTTCTGTCATGGGTCATGTGCAACACTTACAGCTAAAATGGTATGGATACAAGAAGTCTAACTCCTCATCTTTTATAACTCCTGTTAATGATTTTATGTCCTTGCACAGTACTTTATGAGAATATGTGCTTTGACGTCAACAATGACTGAACTTTTGAATTCATCTGCAACTAATTTTGAAATTGATTCTTGTTGAGCTCAAAAGATTCAACAAAAGACAAACTTGTCATTTTATATTTCATGGCATTATTTTAAATACGATTTTCTTTCGCTCTTCCTCCTAAGCACTGGCCTACTTCAAGTGTTATATCTTGATTGCTTGGGTAAAAGAACGGTCAGAATACTTGAAGATGTGGTCCAAATTCTGCAGCAGTGCATTAAGTATTTAATGTCTGATACAGCATTTTCAAATATGCATTATGGCTTGTGTCAAAGGTAAGGGCCTTGTGTGTTTTAAGCATTCAAAAAGCATTGCTTCAGTGCTCCAGAGACAGCTTTAATGATCCACAGAGCATGCAATGGGCAAAGAGATGTGTAAGCACAAGGGGGCTCTGAGGGAGGGCGAAGTCATACACAGCCTTTTTCTGACCTAACTTATGGACTTCAAACACATTTGAATAACAGCCACCGCTCCACACATAACATCTTTATCTGTGAAACGAGCAACTATAGGCAAAGTAGGTTACCGAACAGCTTACTGTAGCAGTACAGCCTCAGTGTAACAAGTGCACAAGAGGAGAGTCTCAAGCATAAAAAAATACCTTGATCAAGGGCTGACGTGATTATTTTCAATGAGAGGTCACTCTGATGATAATTTTCCCTGACAACCACTGTGTTACTTCACTTTTTGCATCCTTTCAAATCAGTTTTTCTGGGGGGTGCTGCACTGTGGCATCGCCATGACTCTGACTAGTCTTGACTGTGGCTGTGATGATAGGCCACTGATGTCACTAAAATGTGGATACAGTGATTTGAACAAAGACTGTGGCTTATCAAGGCTAAGATCTAGATATTACTCTTGAGGGATACTTGTATTTTTGTCATTTGGTATCCCCCGCTATACTATAAATTTAGAATATAAACATTGCTGACCTATGTTAGAAAACTCTTCTGGTGTATAATTATAAGGGGCACAAAATTTTCTGAATAACAGGAAACATTTAAACTGTGACTGGTTATTAGCTACGCACCTAGAAACAACACACGCACACGTCTTTGATACATACATAAATGAATGCGTGGGCTGACGGTTGGCAGAGGCAGCCCATGATAGAGAGGGTCCTAAACCTGCTTGAACTGCCGTCAGAGATTGTAAATCTTAAAAGTCCAACCCATTGTACTGGGTGTGATCCAAGAAGGTAAATATTCATCCTCTCTGTACATCAGGGCTCATTCTTTCCGAGACTATGTAGCCTGAAAACCACTTTAAAAGGGATACATATGTATGTCTGAAGTAAGGTTGTACGAGTTACTGGGAGTTGTGTAAGTCACAATGAATAGGAGAACCAGCACACTAGTTAGGCCTGCACTTTTCTGCAGACAGGGTCAACACTGCCAAGTGATTTTTTTTTTCTACTTTTGAATGACCTTGACCAAAGCTTTCACCTCGGTTTGGGCGTACACTATAAAACATCTATTGTGGTTAATCATCTAGGAAAGTATCTCATGAAACCTTACTTTAAAAACTCTGAAATATCCCTTTAAACTGCCCAGTATTTATTGTACTAAATACAATATTGTATTATCCTCAGTATTTATTATTGTGAAAGACTGAAAATATGACTTTCTCCATTTCCCGTCTTATTGTCTGAGATGAAATGAGGAGTTTCACGGTAACTACTTCATTACTTTCACATTATACTAGTGTAGTACCAGGCTATTTAATTGGCAGGGCAACCTTACAGTAGTCCCAAGCCAACCAGCATTCATAATACATAAAAAAAACAAAAAAAAACAAATGGACACTGTGCATGACAGTAGCTGACAAGTTAGCCCTGGTGATTACTGTAAGAAGGGGCATTCATGTGGTCTCGTCTTGTAAACACCATAAACACAACCTCATTTAAAGGCACCATTATCACTAAAGAAATACAGAGTTTGTGAGCAGCACAGGATTAGGAAACAGGGCCATGATGAAATAAGGCAATGCAATGAAAGCACTGATTACTGGTTCAATAATGCGAACATCCTCAATGTGCTTCTGACCAATGTGACAAAAAGTGTTTTTTTTTTTTTCTTCGCAAACATGAAACTATCTTTAAGATTTCCTTTAGCAAACATAGAAAATAAAGATTTGAATGCTGCTGAAAATTGTCCAGCCTTGCTTATTGTCCTGCTCTTCAAATCTGGTCCTATTGCTATTGTAATGAAGTAGCCCTAGCGTAGCATTTTCCATTACAACTCGTACAACATGGTGTTTTTCCTGAGAGTGAAAACAGCAGAGTTTCAGTGTTTCCAAGCAACAAGTAAATGAATAAGAATTCTTTATAGCCTACAGCGCTGCACTCATCTGAGAATATCTTAATCCATCACCTTCTCAATTTTAGCAGCTAAAAATAGAAACTTCCCCCACACTGTATTAAGTCTATCATATCACATTAAAGTTATGGAGGTTTGTAACTAGAATGAAACATATGGCTTTTCACTACAGAGCAATAGGCGAGTTTAAAACAACAACCAGTGTAAAATTTATTGCCTTGCATTTCTCATCTATCTTGCATGCACCATCTGTCTGGGGATTCATTCCTTTTCTGTCTCTCTCCTCGTATATATTGTCTTACCCTTTTACCGTCTGTCTCTCCTAACATTCGGGTGCAGTTGTTTTAATATCAGCATCCTTCAAGTGATCAGGTGACAGGGGTGTACACCATGTCAGATTAGCAAGTCAGTCATATTATCCAAAAATGTGTGGGAGACTACAAAACCGCGTCAAGTGCCAGAGTGGCTCACTGTATAATCTCTCAGTACAAACTCTGCCGCAGGACATGGCAGCTGTTTTTTCTTCTTATTTTTCTGCAATGCCAGAAATAAGGGAGAAGGACTATTCTTTACTCCAGCCAAACATTGTTTTCCTGCTGTAGTGTTAACACAACAAAAGGACAATAAATATTTGCTTACACAACCAGGATGATTACAGAGGATTAGTCATGAGAAGGAGGAGAGAATATCAGGAGGAGACGACAAATGTCTCTCATCCTCAGCTAGTTGGTGCAGCTGTTATTAGACAAATCCTTCCTGGGGGAGGGGAGGACAGATCTGGTTTAGACTCCCGCAGCATTGCATCATTTTCTTCCAGGCAGAGATGATGGCAAATTGTTGACGCTAATGGGCTTCCCCACGCTGACAACAGAAAGACATTTCCTCACAGCAACATTTTTTTCAGGTAACATTTATCGAGGAGTCCATCCCGAAGAGGTTTCTCTATTTGACGTTTGTTCAACACCAGCGAAGAGATGTGCTTCTCGAACAAAATCTAATCAAAGGCATGGAGAGAGCTGGGCAAACATCTAGAAAGTTCAGGATGAAGAGATGCTGAAAACCACCATAAACTGACTCTTCAAAGAGCGATGTGTGACCTACTTCTATGCAGCCAATTATACTACGTCTCCCTCCTTCTTGCATCGTTTTTTTTTTTTTTTGTTAAAGTAGGTCAAGAAATACGATAAAATCTGAAACAAAGTTTGTGCATCTATACAGAGAAGGTATAGACAGGTTCCTTTCTCACTCATGATTAATGAAGGTAATAAGTTAGCCAGATAGGAGAGAGTGGGGCAAGATGAGCTGTTTTTTTTTAATATTTCGGATCACTACATCAAGGCAATCATAGTTTTGTCTCTAACTAGTGTATCTGCATATATTTCAAGATGTTGTGCATCCCTGCAAACCAACAGAATGAGTGTAAACAGAACTGTCTTGATAATATAGCATACAAAAAAAGTGGTCTCCTATGGTCAACAGGGTAAGTTGACCAGAGGAGCGGGGTAAGTTAAGCCATATCGCTACTACCCCACCACTCTCCACCCCAGCCCTCCCTCACCTTCTCTCTCCCTAAATAACAGTCACTTCTTCACATTCATGTGTATTTTTATCTATTATACACTATTCAACTGGTACAATAATTCTTTTTATCATTATTGCATATAACTGCTAAAAAGCTGTTTTGTTAAGTCATTTTAACACGAGAATGTCTTTAAGTGATTCCGAACATTCACAGCTGTATTTTTGAAAAGAAAAAGTAACAGATTTCAACAATCTGAACTGAAACTCTGATTCTCTTATCAGACTCCTTTACTTTCTCAGTTGAACCACTGGCTCAGCTTACCCCAGAACTACTATTATGACTTTATTAGTCCTCTAAGCTAAAATGGTGGACTTTTTTGACCTCATGTTGTAGCTCATAGATACCACAATTGATGTATAAAACAAATTTAAAATGATCTTTTTTGGTCTGAACACAATTCTAATAAAACTTATGACAGACCCAATTCACTTTCAAGAGTGAAATTTTTTTTTTTTTTAAATAAATGTCTAACCCCTTCACTGATGTGCTTCTAACCTTCACAGACTCCATGAATTGATGCCCATCTCCTAAATATTTGGTCACATGATCAATTTCTTTTACCATTTCCAAGCAACAGGGGGTGGCTCAGCTTACCCTTGGCTAAACCTACCCCACCCTCCTTTACACTACATATGAATTAAAAAGTAGACATCATGAAAAGGTGTGACATTATTTGCTTTGTGTTCCCTTGATAAAACTAAAAGTTTAATTTCTGAGGTAGGCCTTGTTAGCATGTCCACACAGAAAGACCATGACTGATTACTCCTCTGTTGAGAGCGTCCATGAGAGCAGAAAAAACTGGCAATCCCCACAACAATCTGCTGCTAAACAGGTGCCCAGACATGATTAATGGAGTCAGAGCAGCTGACAACAAAAAGCCAGCTGACTCCCGCAGCACCTGCATCAGACCCATTACAGGAAAAATAAATCTCTTTCAATAAAGTCCTGTAGTAAAAGTTCCACTGTGCTGTGTGTGTCACATTTATCTGTACTATATATTACTGAGCAGCGTTTTAACTTCCATATCTGAGAGCTTCAGTGATCTCAGTGTGGCTGCCTTAATGTATGGGCGGCCTATAGGTTAAGTAAAGCAGCTGTCATCAAGAAGTGACACTCCTTGACAGGGATGGCAGTCGAAAACCAGATGGAGCCGTCATCATTTGCCTCTATGCTCAACAGTTCCCTTGTTGATGCCTTCCACTTAGTTTCATGTGCCTTGCTAAACAGTGACATGACATATTGCTAGAGACAGTCAGCACTAACATCAACCAGGGAGGTAATCATAGTGGACAGGAGACAGGAGCGGTCCAAATCACTGCGGCATTCGACTAAATATTAATATCAGCTCTAAAAATAGGATGAACTCACCAACTTACTCCTATTTCATGAGATCATCAACTTTCTATCCCTCAGGGAGATCAGAGTGTTTTTGAGAGACTGTTTCCCTCAAAATCAAAAGGTTATCTGTGATGGTTATTTCCTAATTTCAGTGATATAGTGACATTTCTGTTGTTAAATACACTAATGAAAGGCTGCCAATTCTGTTAAGGTCTGCTAACCTACCAGAGGCTGTATGTACAATCAGCTGACCTACAATCAGAGGCCAGACATCCCTATCTCAGCAGAGTGAAGGTTAATGAACCTGATGATAAAATGTGGATGGACACAGAAAACCTCTAGACAAGGAAAATCCAAAGGAATTGATAAAAGAACCAATGGGGAACTGAACAACAAATAATACCAATTTCCATCCTTACTTCTGAGTGCTGCAAACTCTCAAAAGACTCAAAACAAGTTCAATAGTTAAATGAGTATCTTGATAGCGTCTACCTCTCTGCCAGGGAACACAACTAACTAAACTAGTGCTGGCTCATTATGCTAATACAGTATGTCATTGAACAGTAAGTTTAATCATGATTTATATTGCTCTATGTTAAAGTTGTTGCTCGGTTGTGTTACCTGGTGTGTCAAAATGTGGCTGACTGCAAGTGTGTGAAACAGACCCACATTGATTATGGCAACAGTAACGCTACAGCGTGACTGACCATTACATACATTTCACAAAATATGCACAAGCAGAGTGCAACTTGATGCCTGCAACGCCCTCCAAAAAATGCTGGGGCGGGGGATATTCAGAGAAACTGGAAAAATCATTACACAAATGCAGCAAGGCCAAAAACACAGTCCATCTTTACATCTACAACCATGCAATGCCAAAACCGTATGTCAACAACATCCAAAAATGCCGCCAGCTCAAAGTGGAAAAGTGTGCTGTGGTCTGATGAGCCCACATTTCAAATTGGTTTTGGAAATCATGGACTTGGTGTTCTCCAGGCTGAAGAGGAAAAAGACCATCCGGATTTCCACAGCTGAGTGACCTGATTTAGCATTGTGTAAAGTGACACCCACAGCTAAGCAGGGTTACGCTGCTCCACTGCACTACTTGATTGTTTAACATCACCACAATAGAGTGGGCGGGCCCAAATTATTGAGCTCTGAAAGCTTCTAGAGAGGTGACCTATCAGAAAGAAGTAGGCTTGGGAAAGGGGTGGGGCCTAAAGAGACAGCAGCTAAAACAAAGTGTTTCAGACGGAGGCTGAAATAATCGCATTTCAATAGACTAGTGTGACTATTTTTCTTATTTTTCCTCATTTACACAAAATTTTAATATTCTTACACCGCAGCTTTGCCCAGATGTGATGTGTTGTGCATAAGTGGCATGAGTTCCTTATTTGCTCACAGAGCCACAAGAATGCAAAAAACCTTCTTCAACTTGTTTTGTCCCTCTCAAACTCTCTGAAAGAGAACTGGTGTACATGGACAACTGAGAACCACTCCACTGAAAAATGACTTGGCTGCAAAACAGTCCTGTTCTTTTTCTGTCCAAACAAACAAACAAGCCCACAACCAAACCCGAAACAAACAGAGAGGATGTCTGAGTGGAATTACAAATGCTGAGGGGAGAGTGTGAAACAAGGGATGAAGCTGCTTAACAACGGGTATGAGTTTCTGTGTCAGGAAAAAATCCAACAGCGCACACCTCCACTAGCACAAGCACCTGGCATGTTAACAAGGTATGAAGTGTCTGTTTCAGCTGGTATCTTACCTTCTACTGTGTTATCTCTGCCCTCTCACAGTGGATCATCACTTTAGTTTCAGCCTTCTGAAACAGTTTGATGGACTGAAGAATATACTACAGTATGTGTTTTAAAAAATTGGTGTCAGTGAAGTTGGGACAAAAGCTACTGAAAACAGTGTTCAATACCAGAAAAACTGACAGACTTGGTGTTCTTGGTGGAGTTTGGAGCCACAGAAAAAAGAAAAAAACAGAAAAGGCAATGACAATAATGACTGAGTCATAATTAAGTGCGGGAGTGATTTTGAAATCTAAATGGCTTTCTAATTCTTTCAGATCCTACGAGAATCAGTAAGAGTTGTTAGTAATGCCCACTAATGAGGAACTGAGGATTCACACTGTCTCCTTCGGTTGGTCCAAAAGGGTCTTTCCTCACCCCGAGGGAGTTCTTATTTGCACGACTACCCATTCACTTAACATCATCCTTTGGTTGTATTATTAGAAGTACACACTCTAAAGCCTGGTTTATGTGTCTGTGTCAAACCCACACCATAGTGGGTGATTCCATTGTGAGAACTACATACTCCTGCACTGGAGTGTCTGCGTTGTTTTGCAGCAGCCTAGACGACTGCCTAAAATCAGGCTACTAAAGGTCTAAAAAGGAAAGATTTTTAGACATCTAAATTTAGAAAAGGTTTAGACTAAATCTAAATCTGGGCTATATCTGTACTACACTGTATATTGCTCAATGGCTATGATAATTATTTTGGTTAAGTACTTGGAGATCAGTTATGCAACTCACAGTTGATTTTTGAAATAAATATTTATCAAATAAAGTGCAACGTCTAAATTCTGTCTAAAAATATACAGAATCTAGACAGTTGAAATTAGGTCTTAAAAAAAACAAAACAAACAAACAAAAAAAAAAAATAGACATCTAATAGCCGTCTATTGCCAGTGGGTAGGTCTGACACAGAGGCAGACCAGGCTTCATTCAGCACAAATAAAATACACAGACTGCTAAACTTGCATCTTACACAGTTAAAAGTTACCTAAACACTCTCTCCAATCTTGGCCTGCCAGCAAATTATTACAGCCAAATTCTACTGTTGAAATAAGGCAAAATAGCACCGACTTGCAGAGTCATTTACAGGTGTAGAAATACAGGGTATAGAACACAGAACCTGCACAAGCCTTCATAACATCACAAATTGACTGTTGCAAATCAAATTTCTGCAGATGATCCACCACACAGAAGCCTGAACGGTCTTTCACAACCCTAAAACTGGACGCTACCTCATTACTCATACTTCTTTTCTAGTTTCCAGTTGCCACTCACATCAAATCTTTATCCCCACTGTTTACAGAGCACTTATAGAAATGGTTCCTACCTACCTGGTCTACACTCCCTCTTGCCTGCTACACTCTGCCAATGACAGGTTCTTGGTACTCCTATTATAACAGACCTACTACAAAGATCATACTGTATTGATTTTATAATTTAAAATGTCATTAAGCAGAAGATTTTATCTAAAGTAATATACATTCAAGAACAACTGGGCGCAGCCAGCAGGGACAGACCACTTCAGCACATGGACAGCTCTTGAATCGAACCCCTAACCTTCTGAGTGGGAGGCAACAGACTCTACCAACAAAACCACAGCTGCCTTATGAAGTAAGCCTGACATCCTCTAAAAGAAACTGACCACATTTTACTGTCCAAATGTTGTCTCATTGTCTGGGTAAGAGTCCATCATCTTTAATAAATGAATTTCTATCAGTATAGCTTAAAACAGACCCAGCCACACTTATCTTGAACTTACTCCCTTTTCTTCATTTATTAATTCTTTTAATACAAAAAAACATCCTTTAAGTTTATCATATTTTTTTTCTGTGAACCATGTCTGCTTTTGTTCCTTACCAAGTAGCTTTTGTTCTTTTAAACAACCAAGCTGTCACCATTTTATTTGGGTGAGGCACCAACAGTTCTGTGGTTAGGTTTAAGTTTCAGTAAAAGATCATATTCTGAGTTTCAATAACACATGTCGTCAGCTCTTGGTAATTCTTATCATCACTGCACAAAGTCCTGATGCTGACGGGTGGTAAGACTCAAAATGTGCTCCAAATTTAAACACATTAGTTACAGAATTTAAAAAAAGTAAAGTGTCTGTTTACATGACCATTTCAGGGACTGATGTTAAGCCAAAGTACTCCAAGATAACCTTTTGCACAGTATCAGCCAAGTTAAAGTAAGTTCATGTGTAACACCAAAGCATGCCCATGAGCAAAGACTGTCTCCAGTATTAAGAAGGCAGTCAAGGCCATTTGGGAAGAACACAGAGCAGAGCCTGAAGAGAGGGAAGAAGTGGAAAGAGGCAAAACGCCAGCGGGCTCTTTGAAATAATCACTCCGTCCCGTGTCGCCCACATACTGAATTCTGTCAGCACAAATACTGCCGCCCACTCACTCTGTCCGAGCTCTCGCAAACACTGCAGAGCCAGACTAACATAGTTCAGCGGGTCTTGGAAAAAGCATATGCTTATAATCACAGTCGGGTTCAGACAATGATCGAGTCCTCTGTGCAACCCACAGGTCAGACAAGGTGTGACAGCAAAATAAAGAGCAGCTGTTCTCACTTGTTTGATGACAATGTTTGAGTTAGAGATGGGGTAGTATGGTGCTATTGTGAAGAGCAAAATGCAAATATGGATATTTAAAATGTGATGACAATATGGGGAATTTCTAGGGATGGGTCCGAATATTCAGCGCCGAAAATATTCGGCCGAAAAGCTTTAAAAATGAATTTTCGGTTTTCGGCCGAATAGATGTTATAGCCGGAAAAAAAATCACTGAATAGTGTGGATAAACATGGGTCTAGTATGAACTCTCAAAAACGGAAAACGCAGACGGCGCTGTTTTCCCTGTTTTAGTAGCATGTTGATGACGTAATCGGAACGCGACAAGAGGCAAGCCGGAATGCTGATACGACGCACACAATACGTACAGCTGTCTTGGCTCGAAGCCGTTCAACCGACATGTCTGCGGTTTGGAAATATTTCGACTTAACAGAGAAAGATGGTCGGATGGCAATTTGTAAACGCTGTTCTGCTGAAGTGTCTCGAGTTGGTGTGACGGCAAAAACTTTCAGTACATCGGGGCTAATCAACCACTTGAGCGCTAAACATAAGGACAAACATGACAAGTTTAAGAAACTCACTGCACAAAAGTTTGCACAATCGTATGTGCATGCATGTAAGTGCATTTATTGTTGAAGTCCTCAGGCCTGGATTTGTGTTTACTGTTGCACAATCATGTATATGCATGCACGTACCTGCATTTATTTTACTTATTTTGCATATGTGCATTTTATTTTATTTATTTTATTTACTTTAGGCTATCCTACAGGGAAAATTGCACTTTTTTGTATTGTTATTGCAAAGATGTTATTTACTTAATTTTATTTTATTGAATGTTATTGTTATAGCATTATGTCATGTGCTGAAGCTGAATAAATGCTTCATGGTTCAAACATAAAGTGATTAATATTTAAGTTTGCCAGGTTTTGCCATAATCAGGTATTTTAAAACAAATGTACGGCAATGACAGCAATTGTACAAAAATTGCTTGGTGATAAAAATTCATAATTCATAATTTAAAATTCGGCCAAGTGTTTCTTATATTCGGTATTCGGTTTCAGCCAAGATTTTCCCATTTGGTCCATCCCTAGGAATTTCGCAAGATGATGGAGCCACTGGTTTGTGGACCACCAATCTTTAGACTAATGTTAGGCACCAATTCTCCCCAACAGAGCCCTACCTCCTTCAGACCGCATCAGATTCTGAAAAATGATCAGTTGCGTTTTTATTTACTTTTCTTTCCAATAGTAACAGTCAAAAGAGGAATTGCTATGATATTTTCTATAATATGCAGTCATGGAAACAGGAAAGTAGTTATAGGGTTGTTGTGCTTATGTCAAATCAGCTGTCATTGAGGATGAGCAGCTCACACACTAACAGATATGAAGAGTGTCATCTTGTCAGTGTGTTTGTGATGACATGACATGTCTTCAGGAAATAGTCTGTCCCCTTAAACAGCAGCAT